CAGTGGCAGAGGTAATGGTGAAGGCAGTGGAGATATTTGTGGTGGCGACGGGGCGGGAACGTAGGAGGGCCGGAGAGAAGATGGGGCGGCGGGGATGGGTAGAGGAGGGTAGGGATGGGTAGGGGTGGGTAGGGGTGGGTAGGCAAGGGAGGGGGTTGGGACGTAGGCGAGGACCGGGACAGGACGGAGAGGTTGAGACAGGTGGAGCAGGATGAGGCCGGCCAAGAGGAATGAGGATGGTGCCAGCGATAAGGAGATGCGACGTCAGCAGAAGGTGAAACTCTCAAGAGGAGGATGGTAGGAGGAGGAGGAGGTGGGAGGGATGATAGGATGGAAGGAAGAGGGAGGGAGAGATAGGAGGATGGTTGGAGGAAGAGGACAGAGGAACCTGGTGACACTGCGGGTGATCCTAGATAGACGCTGATAAATGGCAAGATAGAAGGTCAGCGCCTCGGTAAACGCTCCAGATAACAACGTCACCCAGAAGACAAATGACCCAACCCGGAGACTCGAGGAGGAAGGTCCCATTGCCTCAGGTCCCACAGTAGCTGAACCAGACGTAAACTTGTCATTACCAGGCAACTTACAAGATAGGGGAAGGTCACTCACTGTCTGGTCAAGTTGGAGAGAATACCTGGACTGGTAACTCATCGGTAACCATACAGTGAGGGAGTTTCGGGACTAGTAACTCATCGGTAACTTCTACAGTGAGGGAGTTTCGGGACTAGTAACTCCTCGGTAACTTCTACAGTGAAGGAGTTTCGGGACTAGTAACTCATCGGTAACTTCTACAGTGAGGGAGTTTCGGGACTAGTAACTCATCGGAAACTTCTACAGGTAGGGAGTTTCGGGATTGGTAACTCATCGGCAACTCTAGAATGAAGGATTTATTGTTGGCCTTATTATCACCGGGATCCTGATAATGACGACTAACAGATCCTAATACTACAGTAAGGACATAAAATAACAATAATAACAATAAAAGCAATAACAATATACATAATATTGACCCTCATATAGTAAGGCGACCATTATATAAGAGCGTGCAGCAATATTCAAGTATTAGTTTCAACTAAATAACATAAAAAGATAAAAGATGGTGAGCAAGTTAAGATTCTGTTACACTATCTGCAGGAATGTTACAACAAAAACAGCGGCAACGACAGCAACAGTGAACAGCTGCAGAGTCAACAGCAGAAATAAGAGTAGGAATGATAGCGGAAGAAACAGCAACAGGAAGAGTGACACTGCCAAGGCCATCAGTAATGACATCAGTTTCATCAGCAAGTTCAGCAGCAGTAGTAGTGTTGGTGTGGGCTGAGGGAGGGAGAGGCTGCTGGTGCCGGGGTAATCACGACTAAGCCGCGGCTATAAACAAGGCCCAACAAAGGCCCGGACGCCTGGACACAGCACAGGACGGACATTGCAATATGTGACCCGTTGTCCCATCCCACCCTACCCCCCCCCACCACAACCACTACGATAAAAATTAATATATATATATATATATATATATATATATATATATATATATATATATATATATATATATATATATATATATGAAAATTTTAATAAGTTCCTTTGTATAAGTGCGAATACAACACACTGTAAACTAAGACACACTTCGGTACACCAGGAGGCACCACGGCAGACACATTCACTAGTCGAGTGGTGGTGGTGGTGCCAGGGAGGAGACCTGTGACCCTGGGGACAGGAAGTGAGCTCCGCCGCAACACTTATATAAATATACTCGTAAATATGTATAAATAAATGTGTGTGTTAGTTTATTTGTTTAGCGGGTGAAGAGCGCACACAAAAATACAAAATAGTCAAACTTATAGGAACTTCAATGTGAACGAGACAATATATCCTCAGGTCACAAGCCTACAGTAATCACCTCTCGGATGTTGTGTTTTCTAAACAAACACTAAGGTGGTTAGGCGCCGCAGGAAGAAAGCCTCGACGCTGCGACACAAACAAAGTAATCTTTTACGAGCGCATAAACGGCGTGGGGGATGTGTACAAAGCGGCAGGTGGAACACAACAGCACCGTCCAACACACTCCACCAGCCTCACTCCATACTGTAATTCAGATGAAAAAATATTTCCTCAACACAACAGTACACGTAAAGCGATTCTTTTGAGGTAGAACTAAAGGGAGAACTATTATACCATGGCGCCATATTCTGTTGACATAAATCTACCTAAATGTGGTACCTACAAGTGTACTCCACCTCCCTTAACTCTCGCCAGGTGGTGGAGCCTAAGTCAACGCGACAATCCCCACAATAACCACTTTAACTCTCTTGAATACCTCCACCAACACCATCTCTCAACGACACCATCAATATTCTCCCTCCCACAACACCCTCTTGATCTTCCTCTGGGTAACATCAACAGTCTGTCATCCCACGTCATCACCCACAAGCCTAAGACCATCACCCGCTCTTACATCATCAATTAACATATTCTTCTTAAAGCATCATTTTCTTTTTTTGCTTTTCACAGCACCAATAACACCATACTCAACACTCTCCATATTCCACTTTATCAATCCATGCAACACAGCCATTACCTGCAGCAACACCTACACCACAGCCAACAGATTTAATACGAGCAGCTCCTTACGACACCGTGCAGGGATAGGCTTCCTTACTTGTGTCACCTACTGCCTGAATCCCCTTAATTTGTTTAGATATAAATTAATTGGCAGTTTTCCTCTTGTCTCGGTATACCGTTTCTTGTAGAACAATGGTCACCTGCTGAAACAACTATTCCCCGAAAGAACAGTCACACCCCCGAAGAGAAGTGTCTTCGTGTGACAGCATCAGCCTCTACCACAAGAATTCCTTTCACGGACGCCACTCTTTGCTTCAGCGATCGTCCTCAGTTAGATCAATCGTCCCCTTCTGGCACGATCCTACCCTGCTTAATCACCTACTTTCCTTTGATGGCCCTCTTCTGTTTGGATGACCCCTCGGCTTTCCTTCCCTCTTGGCCAGCTCCTCTTCCTCCTCAGAAGCAGAGGCTTGGACGTCTCCCAAAGGCAGAGGCGACTCACATTACCCTTGGCGGTGCTCTGGCTTGCTTGGATGATTCCTCTACTTGAATTGCGTCCTTCCACCCTCCCTCCCCTCCACCTACTATCAGTTGGTCAACGGGACGAACATGTCGGACTTGTCAGAGCAGTAACTCGGGGCGTAGATCACCTGGCCGTCAGCGAGCCACTCGTGAGGAGGGAGACTGGCTATCTGGCCCGGCGGGTGCTATCGCGGACCCGCATGTCCTTCATGTGTTTTATGGCCGTGGCGAGATAAAGCCCCCCCCCCCCCTGAACCCGGCCGACACTTTGCAAGGGACGGAGAGATAATGAGTGTCCGTTAAAGGGGTGGTCGTGGCAGCCTTCCACATTCTCAGGTTGACGTTGGTGCTATTGAGAACACCACTTAAGAGGTCCACACACACACACACACACACACACACACACACACACACACATAATAAAGTGGGGGGGAATATCTTAGAGAACTTAAAAGAGCGAGTATTGAGGCGGTTCTGGGAAAAATGTTACTTAAGTTATTTGGGAACTTGACACACACATGATATTGTTGACGTTGATATTGTAATACATTATTAACCTTTATCAACAATTAAAAATGGAGACACACATTCTAATACAAGTCGCTTCTTACTATACCTTCCATGCACACGTAATTACGCCAACAGTTTACACAACCCAACACTTCTCTCATAACGTGTAATAACTTTATAAAAAAATACGTTCCTTTAGTCCAATAAAAAAAATTACACCACAAAATACATCTTTATAAAGCCTATGTCCTTCTCTTTTATATCTAGAACCAGTACTTTAAGCTCTTGATGACGAAAACTAATCGAATCGCTGTTAACCTGACCTAACCTAACCCACCATATCTCACCGTTCATTCACCTCAATCTGACACCTGTGAATGGTCTTCGATTCCCTTAGCAGAGTAACTTCATCTTATATTCTTAACCTAACCTAACCTAACCTAACCCAACCCAACCCAACCCAACCCAACCTAACCCAACCAACCTAGCCTAACCCAACTCAACCCAACCTAACCTAACCCAACTAACCCAACCCAACCCAACCTAACCCAACCTAACCAACCTAACAACCCCAACCTAACCCAACCCAACTACTTCAACCTCACTAAACCACTACAACTTCAGAGCCCATATAAAAAGATTAACATATAGACCATTAGTAAACAATCTTCCCTTGTCCAACATTATTAAGGAGTTAGACGAGACATCAATCCCCCTCCCTCCCCTGACGTCAACACAAGCCAATCTAATCTCACCTTACCTGACCGGGATAGTTGTCAAGACAGAAAGTATGTACTGAATGACAAGCAATTGAGATATACACCTTTTGATGAGACAGACAGACAAACAGACAGAAAAGTACAGTAATAGCGATGCAACTTGTTGACGGTGACTGGTTGTAGACAGGTGACTAGTTGTAGGCAGACAGACAGACAGAGAGAGAGAATTGAAGAGACACTGACAGAAATAAAAGAAACAGACAGACACAGAGAGAGACAGAGAGAGAGACAGATGAAGAAGAACCAAGAGATAATACGAGACTTTGAGAACATGAGAGAAGGGGTGTTGGCATGGACAGTGATTCTCAAAGCCCAGTGGTGGTGGTGGTGGACAGAGAAGCAGGCTAAGAGATAATCTATGAGACAAGAGACAACAAGAGAATGACAGCATGCACTTACCTCCTTTGGGCGTGCCAGTGCTGACGGACAAAGTGAGACAAAGAGATGAGAAGATGAGACACACACACAGAACAAGAGATGAAAAGATAAGGAGACAAAACGAGAGAGAGAACACGAGAGGAGAAGAGATACAGAGATAAAGACACAAGAAGTAAAGAAAAAACGAACGAGAGAGAGAGAGAGAGAGAGAGAGAGAGAGAGAGAGGACGGACGGACGGACGTACATACCTTCTTGAGGGTGCCCGTGGTGGTGCCCATGAAGAGGACGGTGTGGTGGGCGGTGGTGGCAGCCTGAAGGGAACTGAGGCTGGTGTTGCGGTAGAGGAGGGCGGCCCGGGCGTGTAGTGGAGACACCCCAGAGATCTTGAGACCCACCTCGCAGAAGTTGTAAATGTTGCCCATCGTCTGCAAGAACACAACAGTGATTAATTAAGGTGATGCCATTTGTGTCATGTTGTTCATGTAGACAAACATTTAATAATGATAATGACAATACTACTACTACTACTACTAATAATAATAATAATAATAATAATAATAATAATAATAATAATACCGGTAATATGCATAAAATTTTTACGTCAACTGCGCTTCGCCTCCATTCAATCAAACGATACGATGGGGAGAGAAATATATAAATAAAAGGGAAGGCGAGGAAGGGGTGATGAGGGTTAGGTTGTAAAGGGAAGGGGATACAATGGAAAGGGGGGATGGGAAGCAAGGAAGGAAAGGGGAAGGAAGGAAGGTAGGTAGGGAAGGAAAGGGGGAAGGAAGGAAGGTAAGTAGGGGAGGTAAGGTAAGGAAGGAGAGAGAGAAAGGGAAGGTGGGAAGGGAAGATAATAAAGGGAAGGGGAGAGAAAGAGAAAGTAGAGTACTGAAAGAAAGGATAGGTAAGAATAAGAGAGATTTACCTCCCTCGCTCTACAAAAGACCAAATGAGATCAAACTTAATACAAACACTTATTATCTTCCTAAGTCCATAAGCCCGTAAATCCCCGACTCACAAGTTGTTACTAAAGTTGTTTGTGTACAGTTAACACAAACACCATAACAACAACAAGGCCCGTATATAATAATTCACCATCCCTAAAATCGTTAAATAATCATCTAATCACACTATAAATCACTACCGTCATATATTAATAATTCATCTAAAAAAAGCGTAAGATATAAACCTGAAATCATTTACATATCGTCTACTTGACTAATTTCATTGGTTATACAGAGTACAGGAATCAATATAGAGTCATTTACATATTTAATTCCAGGTTTATTAATTTCTTGTCCAATATCATTTCACCTCATTACTTACTATCAACGTTCTACAACAGATGAGATTTCAATCAGGAGTGTTGTGTGTGGCGGAGGGGGAATGGGGAGGCGGAGGGGGGATGGGGAGGCGGGGAGCAAGGGGAAGGAGGCGGAGGGCAGGGGAGGGATGGGGGTCGGGGGGAAGGAGGCGGAGGGCAGGGGGAGGGATGGGGGCGGAGGGAGGGATGGGAGGGCAGCGAAGGGGGGCGGGGGTACTATTAACGATGCAGAGTGGCACAATGGGTGACGACGCCACACTACCTCTACGAATATCAACAGGTCCGTCACTCAGAGTACAGCAGCCACAGCAGTGGTGACGGCAGCAGGAGTGTAATCGAGAGCAAACACAAAAAACAACAGCAACAAGTAACAGCAAGAACAGCAGCAGGAAGAGCAGTAACACCAGGAACAGCAGTACCAATAACAGCAACAAAAGGAACAGCAGTAGCAGGAGGAGGAGGAGCGACCTTCAACACTAGTAAGACTGGTATCAATTTAGAGCCAGGGACGGCAGCATCGACGGGGGAAGATAATAGTGTGTTGCGGGTGTGTGGTTGTACGAGTACTAACGACCCTATCCATCACAACTACCCGGCCCGACAACCACTGGATGCCCCTCCACAATGGTCCTTCCCCAGCGACAATCGTTCGTCATACTGACCCCAAACAAGCAATTCGTGACCGAGCGCACCCATTCTAATTAGCTAACGACCGCCAGCACCCACGCTGAACGCCTGTAAACTAGGAAATGGTCATTACATTTAAAAGGCAGTAATGTAGAGGCCGAGGTGAGGCGAGGCCCAGGCCAGTGTTTACCACACCCTGCCCATTATGGTAATGCCTTACAATATTCCCCACTAATACCTACACACCCGCGCCCAATTTACATGTCACGACCACACGCCCACACCGCCTCCCTCACCCTCAGGCAATATGGGAGGATTTTCTTTTTCCTTTTTCAGCATCCGGTAATCCTACTTACTATGGACTTTTTCTAAAGTTCAGCCTCAGTGTTGCTGGTGTGGTGGCCGGCGATGTCTGGTCTACCTTGTGTGCCCTACCTGCCGGTGCTGACCAATGGTGGAGCATCTTTTACCGTACACCTTTATATACTTATTCTTTATCATATTTTGTATTGCTTATATTTTCTATTATATTTCTCATTATATTCTTTCTTTTGTCAATACTCTGGAGGACCATCTATCACACACAGCTCAGAACATTCACTACAACATAATGATCCGTCAGGTAGATCCATAATAGTCACTCGTGTTTACCTGACCTTTTCATGCTACATAAGATGACAGGTGGAGGAGACAGGTACAGTAACCTCTACGAGCACTAACTAACTAGTCTGGTTCATCATACGTCAACTCTCTGATCACAACCATGACACCGGCGCGCTCCTGCTGTTTACATTGCATATCTTAACCTGTATCACGTTCCAGTATGGGAGAATTTTTCACCGTATTTTTCCACTGTAGATCGTAAACTCCGCCTTCTCGTATTTTTCATGGCGTGTTTTATGTGGGAAGTTTTACGTCTACGTCCCAAAGATATGATAAGAACTGAAAACATTTTAAAATTATTTTCGAATTTGCGAACATAAATCCTGTCAAGCCAGAGCAGGAGAGGCATTAGGATGCGGCCGGCGGTGAGCACAGCCATCAGGAGGGACGCCTGCCGCAGGTACCATTACAATGACACAATGTTCACATCAAACCAACGCAATTTTTAGCAGCGCCTGTTAGCTCTATGTACACCAACCTTGACTCGCTGCCTTACTGACTCTTGAACACTTTTCTTGACCAGACGGCAGTGACGCAGCTCATTACAAGATCTCGCTCACTTTATTTCAACTAATATTCTAGACAAAGAGAATTCCCATCCCAGAATCGTGTAATCTTGTACCCGGGAGAGAGGGTTCCCATATGCAAGTTGAAGGCGTCCTGGTGTAGAAACTCCCGTATGCATTAGACCCAAGTTCTAGTTATACTGTGGCCGTGTGGCGTCCCAAGACCATACAGTGTCCTGAGAGCCGAGAGTAGCGTCCCAAGACCATACAAGTATCCCGAGGGTAGAGTTTGGCGTCCCAAGACCATACAAGTATCCCGAGGGCAGAGTTTGGCGTCCCAAGACCATACAGTGTCCCGAGGGCCGAGTGTACCGTCCCAAGACCATACAAGTATCCCAAGGGCCGAGTGTACCGTCCCAAGACCCTACAAGTATCCCGTTGGCGAAGATTTATCCCCCAGAGACGTTGGATCCCCTATGTCTCCCGGGGCCAGAGTTTCCTGAAGCCGTGATATTCCTGAAGGCCGTAGCTTCCTGAGGTCCGCGGCGTCCTAAAGGCAGGAGACAGGACACAGGAGACATGTGACAGGAGACAGGCGACAGGAGACAGGCCACGACGGAATGTAGCCTAGGAGATTAGGATGTGTAGAGCGGGCCCAACACGGGACAAGTCTGCTCTTTACCCAGCAAATATTGGCCCCCTGTCCTCCAGTGTCCAATCCAAACTGCATCCTCCACTAGATTCACCTCTCTCTCTCTCTCTCTCTCTCTCTCTCTCTCTTTAATATTCTATCCACTATCTCCACCATCCACACTCCATCACTATCATCATCACCACCATCCACCTCCTCCACACCATCCTCCTCACCACCTTCCTCTTCATCACCCCCATCACCATCATCATCATCATATGTACACTAACCCAATAAAACGCTCTGATTTCGATTCCTTTATTAATAGTCATTACAACAGGACCCACTTTAGATGGTAATTTGGTCGAAGGTTTCGGTGCCAGCTTCATTGTCTTATACCACACATAATAATAATAATAATAATAATAATAATAATAATAATAATGATAATAATAATAATTCTAATTCTTCTTCTTATTATTATTATTATTATAGCCTACTAGTCATAATAGCAAAAAAAAGTGCTATTAAACGACTATAAATCACTAGCAACAACGTATTATTATTTTCCAACGATATGGCTCTACCATATGCGGCTCTTTATGTGATACAAAGAGCCAACCCAACCTTCACACACCACTGAGGAGATTTCACCTGTTTACACTCAGACTATCACGAGTATTATCAAAGCTTCGCGGCGGAGAATAACACATTAAAAATACTACACACACAAAACATTATTTTCACCGAGTATCATCTCACCATAAGATAACCCAACACAACATATTAACAGACAGATGACCGACCGGGCCTTTCCAAAACACAAACGTCTTTTTTAAGGTATTCTAAAAAAATAATAATAATTTAATCTTTACATACATACATACATACATACATACATACATATGCGCACACACACACAGAAATATCAACAACTTACACGTTCTTATCCACAGATCCCGCTTGGAGAAAACCCCCTCACATTACCATAATTTATTCAGAACATCATCATGCTTCCACTCGTCGTCTCCTTGTGCCCACCCCCAACATGATTCTCCTGCCAGTTTTACATATACGTCTGTCAGCTTGTCATCAGGCTGCCATAAACAATTCTTCCTATACTCTCAACCTCCTACTCCACAACCCACGATGACTAGTTATCTTACCCACAACACGACTCATAACCTTCTATTCAGTTCACAACGACTATCATACCCACAACAACTATCTTACCCACAACACGACCCACGATATATTACCCCACAACACGACTCATAACCTCCTATTCAGCATCACAACGACTATCATACCCACAACAACTATCTTACCCACAACACGACCCACGACGACTTATCTTACCCATTACACGACCCACAACACGACCCACAACCTCCTACTCAGCCCACAACCCACGACATAAAAATATATGACCTACATTGCCATTAAATATCCTAAAAATCACCTGAAAAGTAGACAACCTCACCTTATAGCACCTGAAGATTAACCACCCTAACCTAACCTCACCACACGACCCTGGCGACTCTCCCTCACTCACAGCGGCAACAAATAATATAAATTTTTTTATTTTTTTTTAATCCCTTCGGGTATATTTCTTTTCCCTTCCCCTCACTCAAGTGCTCCGGGTTTAACTGGGGTTCCCGAGGGATG